GTCTTCTTGAAACCCTTTCATCCCCGCCTTGCTTATCGTGAAAGGAATGAAAAAGAAAGCGTACATCCATTGGTATTGCTAAACGGTTGCCCTTTCTAAGTATTGATCAGGCTCGACGTTGCTTAACATAGGCAGAGAAACAAACAGAAATATCCTATTATTCATTAATAATATGTGTACTTATTAATATTGTTGGATTCATTTACGATTTTTATATGACGGCTTATTTGAGCTGGACTGAGGTTACAGCGATAGAACCAGAAGTGTCACATTGATATATCTGAAAATATTTCATTTACAGTTTTCAAAACGCCTATCATTTACGTGGCTGGCATTATGGAACGATTGTGGGAATCTTTCAATTAACCGAGGAAAAAAAGACGAACGATAACTATAGTAGCATCACAATGGAAATGTGAAAACGGAGAACAACTTTTGAACAACCCATATGGAAAAAAAGAACAGTTTTATATACTCAGTCATAGAAACACACAAATATATGTTTGGTTGAATATATATATATATATATATATATATATACACACACACACGTCTAAGTATCCGTGAATTTGAGAGGATTTAAATACGAAATCAATAGATATATGACTACATTATTCAAACAAACTTGCTTGAATGAAGATATGCTGCATATATATATAGAGAGAGAGAGAGAGAATGTAAGGATTGGTAGGGCAATTTTCCAGGTGTAGCTCATAAGTGGCACAAGGCCGAAAGTATAGGTCACCCAGTGAGGATCGAACTCACTACTCAGTCGTAATTGTTTGAACCAGAGTAGCTTGCTAACCATTGCACCACCTCGGGAGGTGCCTAAGTTGAGACTGTATATAAAATATATATATATATATATATATATATATATATATATATATATATATATATATATATATATATATATATATATATATATATATATATATATATATATATATATATATATATATATATATATATATATATATATATATATATATATATATATATATATATATATATATATATATATATATATATATATATATATAGAATATTGAGATATATAATATACATAGATATATATAAGATGAGGATAGATAGATGAGAATTCTGAATAAAGGAAAGACAATAGAATTTTATAATGCAAAAAATATACATAATTTTCGAAAGAGAATTTGTGCATGCGCTTTGCAACTGAACAAAGATTATTTCAAGAATGGACGGGAAACAAATAAATACATTTTGAAAATCCTTTTTTGTTGTTGGACAAACACAACAAGAAAAATGGCATTTCCTATTAGGCAAAAAAGAAGAGGGAATGCGATTTTTTCTAGAACAAAATGATAAAAATTTATTCTTTTCTGTTTCTTTATTAATTTTGTTGTTGTTGTTGCTCTTCTTCTTCACAGACTTTTTTCCACCCTGAAACTAATTTGATTAGCATCTTTACCTCGGAAATTTGGCGGCTTTTTCGTATGACGTAATTCCGGTCTTCCCAACTGCTTCTACCTCCACTCGTTTTTCCGGATGCGCTCAGGGCAAGTTTGGCCTCAATATTTCGACTTCCGATGTGTTTTAAGTGTGTTTATTGCGAAACGCACACAAGGGAGTTAAGTCCAAGATTGAAATTTATTTCCTTTGTATACGCGCATGTGTGGGGATGTCTGCATCTGTCTAGTGATGCATTGGGGAGGCGTATACGCGCGCTCTGCATAGTGAGAAATGTCACGTGTTCGATACTCACCAGAAAGAAAAACAAAAATGGCCGAGACGGAAATCTGTTGGTTTGAATCCTGTTCTGCTAAGTTTTAGTCATCTGAATATTTGAATAATTCGAATAATTTCTCCGGAGAGAAATTTCTGAAATCACATTGCAATTTTCACTCAGTAAAATTTCGTCCTCCAAATGACAAATTTATGCTTCTCCTTCATTCACCTGCATTCTGTCTGAGTTGAAACACAAAAAAAATATGTTTGCGATGTTCTGAGATATGAAATAAAAACGCTTTCTGTGAACGGAATATCACACTGAAAATATGTAGAATAGCTAAATTTACAGTAACAATGTAATATTACTTATCCAATCAATATTTCGTGGTTTCGACAATAGTAGAATATGGACTTCTACAATACTAGGTTTGTTTAATTTATTTATATAATAAACATCATTATAATGGCTTAATGTATTTATGTAATTAGGTTAAAAGCCGCACTCCGTGTGGAATTTTAAGCTACCTCCTGGGGGGGTAACTAAAGGGACCTCTTGTTCAGATTAGAAAAACGGCAATGACAATTTTTGAAGAATTAACTTTGAATTCCTCATTTCACTCGATAGAGCTTGAAAACCTCACTTTAACTTTGATTCGGGCAGTAAGTCCAATTCCGACCAAAAGACACATTTGGACCGAAACTCCGATTTGGTACGAAATTCCAATTCAAGCCGAAAATTGAGTTCTTCAAATCACAAACTCCATGGAACTTCCATTGTGTTGAGTTCTTCAAATTACAAACTCTGCAAAACTTCAAAACCTCACGTCACGAAACAACTCACTTTAACTCTGATTCCATGGCATTTTGAAGAAATAAAATAGATTTCCTCAATTCAGAAAATTTTGGAGATATTTTAAACTAAATTTAAAACAAAAAATTTTAAAGTCACAAAGTTTTTGTGTTACTTTAAACTCAATATAAATTTAAAACTTTTAAAATCACTAATTTTTGTCAGTTATTTTAGATTTAAAATTTTTAATCGTTCCGTCTTTATCCCACTCCTGGATGTCCAAACACCAGATGAGGGCAGAATTTCAACCCCGGGTTCATCCTGACTCCAAAAAGCTATAATATGTCTATGTAGAGCAAGTGTGACCCGAGTTTAAGGGATTTCAGTCACACGGACGGACAGACAGAATGTACCATTTATTTACTTAGATACGTACATCCTTTTTGATGGATCCAAACCAAGACTGGTTGTGAATTTGAGTTTTAATGTAACAGCCGACGACTTGAAGTTATAATAGCATGCAATAAAATATAACGACCCTCTGTTTCAATTCATCTTGATTAATGGTATTAATTTCGATTTCATCGAGTACGAACTAATACAATGATAGTATAGCCAGTTACAATAACAAATAATGCAATATGGTTAAAGTAATTGTAAAATTAACCGTTTATTTATAGAAAACTTTCAGCTTTTGCGGCAATCACCTCTTTTTTTTGCGAGGTGTGAACTTTTTTCAATAAATATTTCATGGCTCCAGGTATGTTTGTCCCGAAAACAATAATTAGCGGACTCATGTATATCCGAACAGATATAAGAAACTGATACATGTAATTTAAACAAAAAAGTATTAATAAATATATTAAACGGACATATTACAAAAAGGAATATGAGAAATCAAGTTAAAAAAATGTGAAGTAAAAAGTTCTAACCTTCAGTATGTGTACCTGATGTACTTAAATGCCGACAGAGGGAGAAGAGACGTCTTGTCGCTGCCAAAGTCAAAAAGGGAAGAGAAAGAGGCTTTCAAATCTCGCACCATTTGTGATTATCGTCAGGAGGCGGGTAATCCAATGTCTTTCATTAACCGAAAAACGAAAACAGTTCATGGAAGCAAAGGAAAACATATCCAGATAAAGTATCGAATAAAAATGACAATACTGGAAAAAGAAAGAGGAAAAAAGCCTAAAGACAGACTTACCTACATAGTAAAGTGCTCGAAGCCTAGATTGCCTAGACTGAGATAAAAACGATTACCAACGTTAAATCCTGTGAAAAGATGGCTCTAGTCGGGACCAGACTTTCACGCTCTCGCGATCTTCAGAAGTCTTGAAGGGAAATGAAAGGGAGGGGCGAGCTTTATATAAACCCATGAATTGCCCTAAAGCATCACGGGGAAAATATTTATTAAATAATACAGTTTTCAAAGAAATAAGATTTCTAAAAATCCACAAAATATTATAGATCACTTCTATACTGATATGATTTTTTATTACAATTTAATAATATGGAAAGTTTAAAGTTTGATTATATCATTATTTTCTCATCATTTTCTCTCGTTGCTGCTGTCGGAAGAGTTTAAAATGTTTATCTTTGTTGTTTCGTATTGATTTTTCTTTGTGATTTTTAGCGCTTTTAAAAATATCTATTGGATTTATTGTTTAAAATTATTTGTAATCATTAATCTAAGAAAACGGGTGAATACAGATGATACTTTAGGTATTTATAAATAGGCTTGATTCCACGAGTCCATATAAAAGTCTAAATCTCACGAGGTTATTCTGGACTCTAGTCTTCAAGTCTATATTTTGAAATTATAGGATCAAACGGATAAAGGTACGACCACAATGTAAGCTATCCAGAGTTCAACGTTCTCATCTCTTATACTCCTTTATGTACCGTGTCCCTTCAGCGCGTAGGTGATCAAGGCGCTCCACAGCTTCCTGTTCCTTGTAGCTCATATTAAAATTTTCTGTTAATTCTCCTACGCCCTATTCCGCCATGCATTTACTCAAGCTCACCAAGTATGTTATGCGTTTTATTCCCCTATCCGACTTGTTCTCTATCGTGGGTATCAGATTTTCCAAGCCCTCCTTCCTCATCATGATCCCCCAGAAACCTCAACTGTCTCCTCCTGATGTTAAGTATAAATTTCGTTTGTTTCTTTTCTAGTTTCTCTATAACTTTGTCGTAGCTGACATGTTATACCCAGTATCTTTCTGTAGAACCACACTTCTGCCAGCTCAAGCCTCTTCTTCATCTTTGAGGAGATTGACCAGCACTCACTGCCATACAGAAGGACGGATATCACAAAACAGTTTCATCTTATTTTTCTTGTTTCTTGTGAACTTCGAAATCTTTGATAACAGATCCGTTACATCCACATCTCATTGAAACACCGGAAGATTGTTAAGCAACTTTTAACCTGGTCAATACATAGTGAGGTGACCTTGGGAATAGCAGGAGCTGTAAGCGCATTTGTGCGGTTAGTATGGCTTCCGATTACGTGGGAACACCTGTTCCCATACGATTACTGAAGTTAAGCAAGGTCGAGCCATGTCATTACCTAGATTAGTGACTTCTTGGGAATACCAGGTGCTGTAAGCTTGGATATGCGAATGGTGTAATGTTTAATAGCTTGGAATTGTTAATCGGAAATCCGAGTTCCAATTCCAGTTGGGTTCATTATGTATATATTTACTCACAAATACACTTGGAAAAGGTATTAAACCCCACACCCCGACATATGGGTTAATTAGTAAGACTTGTATCACTAAACCAAAAAATAAAATAAGATAAAATTTTCACACCCTAAAAATGTTTTCTGGTTTTAAATAACCTGCAAAGGGTTGATAACCCGTAGAAAATGAATCAATCAATTTACGAAATACTGATTAGCTACACATACATTTCTTTTAGATTTATTTGCATTCCCTGGAATATAAATGTATATGAACTACCGTGGCCAAAAATTGAGGGATTAATTTATATAGTGAATGTAATAAAGAAGTGACCACTCCCCCAAAACATTATATACATATTGTTTTTTCTTGTTTGTTATTAAATTCTTATTAGGCATGAATCCATCTCTTCCAGCTCCAGCTATGGATTAATAAGACTTGTATGACTAAATCATTATTATCTCCAAAATTCTAACAATCTAAAACTATTTTCTGGCTTTAAATAACCTGCAAAGTTTTGATAAAGTTTTCATTAGAAAATGAATGAATAAAGCAATGAATTGTACATCGATTTATTTTGGTGTGTTTAGAATTTTTCAATTCCAGCGGAATTTTAATTATGTATTTAGGGTAGGCGACATCAATTATATGCTTAAAGCCACATTGACAACAGTAAATTTGAACTCAATGAGCTGAGATTTTAAACGCTAATATCTAAAAAACACGACGTTTCGATCATAGCAAAAGATACTCGGTATCATATGTATAATTAAACAAAAGAATTGATAGTTAACTTGACGATTGATTTTCTTGAAACGCATTGCAATTTTCAGCACATAAACGAAACAAAACATTTACTTAGAACTTCCGTTCCAATAGGTGCGTTTTCTTGTTCACATCCGGAAGAGAAACACTGCTTTTTCCAGAAAAAAACATTATTGTTTTCCAGGCTAAGTGAACGACAAATTTTACTTTTCATCGTTTCTTCGATCGCAAAATCTTGATGCTTCCTTAGCTAGAAACAGGCAAGAAAGTAGATCACAGAAAAGCGGATACGAAGCGAGGATTTGGTTACCTTCTTTGCTTTCGATTGGAAGCTTAATGTTCGTCTCTGTGAGTGATTTCTGGTTTCTTTGTTCTTTTTAGCTTTATTGGGTTGAGTTGTTGATCTTCGAGAATACTTGTAATCGCTGCTTTTGAAAGGAATAAACAAAGTGAAAGGCAAATAAAAAAAACAAAAAAAACAATGAAATAGGTTAGAGAAAAGAGAGAGGAGAAAGATAAGGAATGATTAGAAGAAGAAGAAGAAGAAGAAGAAGAAGAAGAAGAAGAAGAAGAAGAAGAAGAAGAAGAATGATGAGAAGGGCATGCCAATGCAGAGGAAAAGGAGAATGAAAAGAAGGAATATCATGAAGAGAAATATAAGGAGGAAGCGATAGATAAAAGACGGAGAAAGAGAATGGTAAAGGAGAATGAATTCGGACTAACAGCCATATCACATTGGAACACCAAAGTTAAGCAACATCGAGTCTGTTCAGTACCAAGATGGGTGACCCATTTGGAATAACAGGTGGAGTAAGTTAGAATCAGAAGAGAACATAGAATGAGGAAGGGGAAGATGAAAGGAAGAAATGAAGAAAATGAAGAAAATGACGAAAATAGAAAGTGGATTAAGACATTTGTTTAACCTATACAGCCTGACGATACTCAGAGATGCAGAATACCTAGCAGGATTTACTATGGGCGGGTATAATCTTAACTTAGGATATCAAAATGACAGTGTTGAATGCTAACTCTCAGGAAGGAAACTAAAAGAACTTTTAGACAAGATAGTAAAGGACAACAAGAAGAACGGACTATTAACTGCAAGAAAACAAAATGTAATACAATCCAAAAAAAGATAGCCTCGAGTTTTGGCTACGTAGTACGAAGCAGAAAAATTTAAAAAGGCAGAAATTTAACTCGCGTATTAACAAGAATATGGTATTGAAAGGTGACAAAGGAATAGCGAAAGTTAGCTTTAGGAAACTAAGCAAAGTATGAAGAGATAGGAATATTTCTTTAAAAGCAAAAGAAAAAAAGAATTAGTGCCGAACTTCGATATACTGGACAATTTTCTCAAATATGAAGATGTGACTTGAACCGCATGGGAAATGGTTGTGCGAGCGTAAGCTGTGAATACCACAGACAAAACATGTGCAAAACGAGGACGTCTTAAGGAAAATGGGAACAACAAGATCAGCTATTGTTACAATTAGAAACAGACTGTTGATATTTCTGGGACACATGAGGAAAGAGGAACTGGAGAATTCAACACACACAGGATTGAAGTCACGTAAAACAGGATAAGTACTTGATGAATATGTGTGAATGGATGGTAGATGATGCACGAAAAATGACAAAAGTTCCGAAGATTACTGAGAGCAACAAAAGACAGGAAGACGTAGAGAGCCGTGATCATAACGAGATGAAATCGCAAATGAGATAGGCTACTGTTTAGTAGATATTCTGGTAATTTTTTTTAAAGTCTTCGGCTAATTCATGACTTGTTAACACAAATGGGAATGCATCGTCCGTCTCAGAGATTTAAACAGTCTATAATATAATGATAGAAACAGTCTATGCTTTTTCACCGGACTTATTCAAGCTATATAGTGAGGTGGTTCTAAGTGAACTAGAAGTCCTACCAGGATTCATTATTGGCGGTCACAATCTTAACGAGGTAAAATATGCAGATGACACAGTGTTGAGAGCAGAAAACTACAAAAACTCCCACAGATGGTAATGAAAGAAAACGAGAAGAAACGAGTAAACATCAACTACGCCAAGACAGAATGGATCAGCCCGGAGTGTGCATAGATAATCGGAAATAGCGGAATCAAACAAGTACAAAAATTTAAATATCTGGGAAAGTATGACACTGAAATCCGAAGATGTACTGGAATAGTCAAAAAAGCATTCCAAAAACTAAGCAGCGTACTAAGAAATAGGAAAAAATCGCTAGAAACAAACAAAAGTGTACCAAACTCTTACGTGATATCTGTTCTCCTGTATGGCGGTAAGTGCTAGACAATCTCCAGAAAAATGAAGAACAGACTTGAAGAAACAAAAATGGGGTTCTACAGAAAGATGCTGAGGATGCCGTGAACCGAACATGTAAACAACGATTAAGTTTTAGAGAAAATAGGATACAAAAATAAAACTTATACTTAGCATTCTAAGAAAGCTACTGGCCCAGACAAAACCTGCGTAATTGTCCTTAAGAATATCAACCCGGAACTATCCTCGGTCTTATGGAAATTATTTATGGAATTATTTATGGAAGGTACCAAATGTATACTCCGTTTTAAAGTACGCATGCGAGCACTCGTCACCCTCTAGGTATAGATCCATCTATCTCAGTTTCATTATCAAGATCTTTGAGGTTACAATCAACAAGGTTGTTGATAACCTAAATAGGAACAACCTCTTGAGAGACAAGCAGTAAGTGTTTCGATTGGCCCCATCCACTGCTGATGTCCTAGCTGCTATTACTCAGAGAATCAGACAACAAATACATCTCAAGGACTATCGTATTAGATATTTGAAATGATATTGACAATGTGTAGCGTAAATGGTTACTGCACAAGCGGAATCACATGAAGAGTCTTTTCAGTTATGAATTCCTTCATAATGGTTAGGTCCCTGAAGGTAGTTGTCAACCACCAGTTCTCCGAGGCCCTAGCAATCAACGCAGGGTTCGCTTCTCAGACCAAACTTCTTTTTACTTTACATAAATAATCCACTTAAAAGTATACTCTGACCATTTTTGATTGGCAGCTTATCTCCTCTCTGACTGAGCTCTAACAATTGGGCTAAAACTAGCTGGTAACATTCAATGCCTCGAAAACCAAACTAATTACAATCCATCATCGCAGATCGGACTCTGAACTATCAACTATCACAATGAACGGATGTTCACTCAGGGAGACACCGTGCCTTGAGCGCCTATTGGGATTTAAACTCAACCCAGACCCCAAGTGGAACTTGTACATATGATCCATCGTTAAAGATGCTGGAAAAATGGTCGTTTCCCTGTAACCGCTCCAGTAAGTACCTGAAACCTCCTGCTAGCTTCTAGCTTTACAAGAGTCAGATCAGGACAAAAATGAAGTACTGTTGCCATATATGAGCAGGAGCTGGCCAGTTTCGCTTTTCAGTCTCGATAGAATCCAAAAGTATCTCCGCGTCGTTGTGGGCTACAAATTATTTTCCACTCTACAACCACTTCTTCACAGATGAAACATCGCAAGCGTCTCACTGTTCTCTCGTTATTCCTATGGAAAGTGTTCAGACGAACTACACCCCTTAGTTCCAACAGTTCTAAACTTCAAGGCTAAGACCCACCCTTCTACGCATATTAGGGCGAACCACCCTTATTCCCTTTGTAGCTCAGCTTCTTCTCATGAGCCATGTCCTAAGTGGATGCTTCTCCGGTCACTACAATCGTAACCCGTTAAAGTCTATAGATAACCATTATCTTCCCAATATATCTTGATAAACTGTGTCACTTACTCTGTAAGCCTCTACATTGAGTGCCTCCCATGCCTTGCACAGTTGAACATCATTGTAAAATAAAAAAAATATTGTTACAAGTCAATCATACAATGTATTAATATGAGATTTAATCATTGTGGATATATTTCTATTATTTAATCTTAAAAACAGCTACAATGTTACAGTTTTATATTTCCTCAGCTCAGGAAAATAAAAGGAAGATTTAAAAAATAAAAGAAAATATATTTGCTGGAAGAAGACAGAGAATAGGAGGAGAAATAAAAGCAAA